CTGACCACAGTGCACCGCTTCGAATGTCGACGCTATCACCGTTAGTGTGGACGCACAAAGTCGAATTACTGTCCTTAGTGTGGACACACACGTTCGACTTTGCAATATCGATTACAAAAATTCGATGCAAGTAAAATCGAACTACTCTCGTAGTGTAGACAAGGCCATAAAGTCCAGGTACCAAGATGTACCTCCTTGACTTGTCATGTATATATTGTCCTTATCTTTGGGACACTCCTACTGTAGTAACAGGCAGGAAGTTACTGTCACTGAACACCCATATGTGCTGATCCTGACAGTTTTCCTGGCTAATGCAAGGTGTTATGGGATACTTAGCATAGGTGAATAAGACTATAGGAAGACACAGGCCACTATTCCAGGCCATGTAACTGCTAGAAGTGTATATACACAATATAATGGTATATGCATTAAGCACATACTATCCAGATTAATATATGTAATGTGAATCATATCTATTGATCATGTGATATATTATATTAGCCAGGCATATATTGGTGAACACTCCAGAAATAGATTTAACCCCCACCTAAACAATTCAGCTAGTCCTAATGACCCAGATCCAATGACCCCACCCCTCATTACAGTGCCAATAACCCCTTTGAGAGCTGCCAAGCCTGTGTTAGCTTCATGGCAGAGACACATTGTGTGTGGGACTCTCATGATGGGCACAAACGCGGCACATACAGCATTACGTTCTGCCAGCCTGGGAACTTAACGCTTGACACTTGAGTGCTCCCTGGTGGTAGAGAGGAGAACAGGACAAGGAGGAGAAATACTTGAGAGAAATAAAAACTAAATACGTGTTTTAAAGATGTTATACACAGAAATAAGAAACAGAGAAAGAGCAAGAGACAGAGATGTGTCTCCTGGCCCCATCTATGGACCAAATTTTGCTTATTTACCCCACTCTGATTCTGGTGTAAATCCAATGAAGTCAATTCTTTCATTAAGAACTATTATTACTGTAGTGATATTTCGGAACCCCAGCTTTGTGCCCCTACAGAAATCTGGCTCAACCAGCTACCTGGAAAGTCCCCTGGTGCACTGGCTCTATGTTACAGCCCCAGGCACAGTGGGCATTCCCAGAGGTGAGTGTTATGGCCAATGTACTCCTACACTCTGGCTATTGCCAGCTGCTGGAATGGTCCCTTGGGGCTACAGACAGTTGAGGATGAATCAGAGAAGGCTTTGGGCTGCTCTGCTTCCAGGGACCAGACTGACCCGCAGTTATCCCCTGGGATTCAGTAGCGGTGAAAGTGGTGGAAAGCCATCTGGGACCCTCCACGCTCTGGTCTCCTAGTGAGCCCGTCTCAGATGAGCTCATCTCAGCCAGCCCCAGAAATCTGGCCCACTAAATCTAAGGGCATTTCAGTGAGTCTGGATGGAGTGTCAGTTGGTGCAATGTGAGCACTGGAGGGAGCAGAGGAAATAGCACGTGACACCAATGTAGCGTATGCCTAGGTGTAAATTCTAGCTCGAGGAGACATACCCGGGTTTGCTCTGACCCAGCTGGCGTGCCAAAAATTGAAGCTTGTCCACACTTGGTACAAACAACAGGAGAAGTTACCTGCCCTGACTACGATCCTGTCCAAGACCACAGGTATGCACTCAGGCTGGCCAGCCCCAATGGTGACATTTCTATTTCTAGCTAGATTCATAGATTCTAGGACTGGAAGGGACCTCGAGAGCTCATCGAGTCCAGTCCCCTGCCCGCATGGCAGGACCAAATACTGTCTAGACCATCTCTGATAGACATTTATCTAACCTACTCTTAAATATCTCCAGAGATGGAGATTCCACAACCTCCCTAGGCAATTTATTCCACTGTTTAACCACCTTGACAGTTAGGAACTTTTTCCTAAGGTCCAACCTAGACCTCCCTTGCTGCAGTTTAAACAGATGAGAGCTAGCGCAACTATGTCTTCTCGAGCTGAAACATTCACCTTCCAGCCCCAGTGCAGACAGACCCATGGGCCCCTCTGGACTCTCCTAGCCCCACCCGAGTTCAGCCCATGGACTTTGTTCCACTCACCCAATGGATACGCGTCACCTCGGGTTCCCATGGTGGCTCAGACGCTGTCAGGGCAGGTCGAGTTCTGAGGATTCTGAGCTTTGCAGCCTCCTTATCTCGGAGAAATTAGACAGGAAGCCAAGTTGACTCATGTCCTGTTGCATTATATCGTATCAACCGACAGTACTGCAGACAGGAAAGCACTGTCTTCTCAGCATGCCCTGCTCTCCTTCCTTCTGCCCTACCACTTCTCCCAGCCACATAATCATTTACCTTGCTGAGTACCTATGGGGCAAACTGACCACAGGGCAGAGGGCCTAGCACCATTTCACAGAATCAGACATGTGGAGTTGCAAGGGAGGTGAGGAGATCAAACAATCCATCCCCATGCGCTGAGGCAGGACTAAGTGCACCTAGACCATCCCTGGCAGCTTTTTGTCCAACCTGTTCTTAACCCCCCCCCCCGCCTCCACAGACTCCCTAGGTCACCTGTTCCTGTGCTGAACCATCCTTAGAGTTAGAAAGTTTTTATTAATATCTAACTTAAATCTCCCTTGCTGCTACCCTTGTTGGACAAGGGCACCAATTGATCACAGTCCTCTTTATAACGACCTTTTGCATATTTGCAGATTGTTATCATGTCCCCCCTCAGCCATCTCGTCTGTGGACAAAACATGCCCAATTCTTTCAATCTTTTCCTCACAGGTCATGTTTTCTAAACCTCTGATTTCTTCTGCTCTCCTCTGGAATCCGTACAATTTTTCCTCATCCTTCTTGAGGTGCAGCACCCAAACCTGGACATGGTTCTCACACGCCAAGTAGAGGAGAACAGTCACCTCCCATCTCCGACCCACCCCACTCCTGTCAATACATCCTAGAATGACATTTGCCTTTTTTCAACAGCATCACACTGTAGGTTCACATTCCATTTGTGGTCCATCAGAAACCACACACCCTTTTCTGCAGTGCTGTTGCCAAGCCAGTGAGTCCCCATCCCTCCCCTGTGAGTAAGGACTTCCAACTAGCTTTGCACCGACTTTGTGGTAGTTTCATCTAGTTCATACTTCCTTAGTTTGAGTAGGAAAATGTCATGTGGGACTGTGTCAAAAGACTTACTAAATTCAAGATACATCATGTCCATCTCTTCCCCCCATGCACTAGACTGGGTACTCACTCAAAGAAGGAAATTATGTTTGTTTGGCATGACTTGTGCTTGACAAATCCATTTTGGTTATTACTTATCACCGATTATTGTGATAAATATAAAGGGAAGGGTAACAACCTTTATGTATGCAGTAACATCAAATCCCTCCTGGCCAGAGGTACAGAATCACTTACCTGTAAGGGGTTAATCAGTTCCATTAACCTAGTTGGCACCTGGCCACAAGGACCAATGGGGAAAGAAGATACTTTCAAATATGGGGGAGGGTGGGGGGAAGGTTTTGTTTGTGCTTTTTTTGTGTGCTCTCTTGGGACAGAGAGGGACCAGGGCAGGGAAAAACAAACAAACAAACAAAAAAAACACATGCCTGAAATAAGCATCTAAGATTACAAAAATTGTAAGAAAAGCCAGGAAATGTGTTAGATTGTCTTCTGTTTTAGCTTGCGAATTTTCCCTATGCTAAGAGGAAGGTTTATTCCTGTTTTTTGTAACTTTGGAGTTTTGCCTAGAGGGGAATCCTCTGTGTTTTAAATCTTATTACCCTGTAAAATTACCGTCCATCCTGATTTTACAGAGGTGTTTCTTTTACTTTTTTTCTTTATAATAAAGTTTTGCTTTTAAGAACCTGATGGGTTTTTAGGACACTAAAAATCCAAGGGTCTGGTCTGTGCTCACCTTGTTTACCTATTTGGTTGTTATATTATTCTCAAGCCTCCCCAGGAAAGGGGGTGAAGGGGCTTGGGGGGATATTTTGGGGAAACAGGAACTCTAACTGGTCCTTTTCCTGAATCTTTGTCTAACTCACTTGGTGGTGGCAGCAATACCGTCCAAGGACAAGGAAGGATTTGTGCCTTGGGGAAGTTTTTAAACCTAAGCTGGTAGAAATGAGTTTAGGGGGTCTTTCATGAAGGTCCCCACATCTGTACCCCAGAATTCAGAGTGGGGAGGGAACCCTGACAATTATCCTCTAGGTTTTAATAAATTGGTAGTTTAATCATTTGTTCCAGTATCTTTCTGGGTATTGAAGTTAAGTTCTCTGGTCTGTACTTCCCTAAGAGCTCCTTTTGACCTTTTTTTGACGTTTGCCCTTGGTATGAACCTCACCCATTCTCCATGAGTTCTGGAAGATAATCGCTAATGGTTCAGAGATTGCTTCAGCTAGTTTCTTAAATACTCTAGGGTGAATTTCATCAGGTCCTGCTGAGTTGCATAGATCTAACTTTGCTAAATATTCTTTATCTGTTATTTACCTATTCTGGCCAGTGTTCCATCCCTCTCATTTAAATTAACTGGTGCGAAGTATCTGGTCACAACTAATCTTGTTAATCCTTCATTCAGTAAAACTTAAGAGGTGCCCATACTGAATGGTTGGTTACTAACATAATGGTCAGAGATGTCAGTGGCCTGGGGTTGTTAATGAGTCTTGCTGTAAGTAGTTGTCTAAGGTGGTGCAGCTGTAATGACGAAGTCACTTTCTGAGAAGTAGCTCTTTTTAACAGAAAACAGAAGAACAGATCTTTATCCAGATCACAATATGGCTCCTTTAACATGAGATGGTGCTGTCCAAGTCTCAGCTGTGATCATAGCTCTTGTCTGCAGCTGTTGTCTTGGAGATGCAGACAGAACATCAGTCCTGTTCAAGGTGGTGTCCTAGTAACAGGATTAACATGGGAAGAAGATGAAATAGGTGGCTAATGACTATCCATGATTGATGGTGTCAGAGAGCGAGATGTGCGTGGTCTAGTGGTCAGATCAGGACCTGGCAGCCAAGAACTGGAGCCGCGGGTCAGAGCCAGGGGCCAAATGCCAGTGCCAAGGGTGAGAGCCAGGGGCAGGAACCACAGGTCAGAATCGGGGTCAGAACCGAAGCTGGAGATGAGGAATCGGAGCTGAGGGTCAGAACCAGTTTACCTGGAGAGAGGCAAGGCAGGAGCTGAGCTGGACCAACGCCCGAGCTATCATAGCTGTGGGCAAAAGTTTTGAGCAGCTACTGAACTGCTACTGCTGGGCTTAAGAGCCTGTCTGCTGACCCTTCCCACCAATCACACAGCTTAGTACAGGCCAGCTGCACTTGTTAGGTTACTTGGAGACTGGCTCTGCTGCAGGCCCTGATTCCCAATAGATGGTCCTTGTTGAAGGTCCCATACGGCAGGTTCTTCTAGAGAGGGACTCCTCAGGACTTGGGGCTCTCCAGTCCTCCCATCCAGGTGTCCGTGAGCTCAAGGTGAAGAGAGGCAAAGAAATACACTCAAGCTCCTCCTCCTATGGTCACTATCATGTGGGGTCTTACCAGGTCCCCTTTTCTTGTGGCCCCCTCCTAGAGGAACAGCTCTGGTCCAATCAGTGTCACACACATGCTTCTTCCAAATAGATCAACCTTCCACTGAGGAAAAGCACTGCACACACATGAGTTTTGCCCATATAAAGTCAGTTTCTGTTCAGTGACTTCCCCTTTCTCAGATATTTCCTGGTGGTTCGCTCTGTCCTCTCTGGATTGTGGTGAGCAGTGGGGTGTGGTTCACCTGCCTTATTTCCTCCTCGGTCTGCTTTAGATCAACACATTCCCTGTGGCTAAAGAAATTACTTTGCTCTCCTGTTTGCCATTGGCCCCTGGACTCTATAATAGAATCCTACAATATCAGGGTTGGAAGGGACCTCAGGAGGTCATCTAGTCCAACCCCCTGCTCAAAGCAGGGCCAATCTCCAACTAAATCATCCCAGCCAGGGCTTTGTCAAGCCTGACCTTAAAAACCTCTAAGGAAGGAGATTCCACCACCTCCCTATGTAATGCATTCCAGTGCTTCACCACCCTCCTAGTGAAAAAGGTTTTCCTAATATCCAACCTAAACCTCCCACACTGCAACTTGAGGCCATTGCTCCTTGTTCTGTCATCTGGTACCACTGAGAACAGCCTAGATCCATCTGCTTTGGAACCCCCTTTCAGGTGGTTGAAAGCAGCTATCAAATCCCGCCTCATTCTTCTCTTCTGCAGACTAAATAATCCCAGTTCCCTCAGCCTCTCCTCATAAGAAACGTGCTCTAGCCCCCTAATAATTTTTGTTGCCCTCCGCTGGACTCTTTCCAATATTTCCACATCCTTCTTGTAGTGTGGGGCCCAAAACTGGATACAGTACTCCAGATGAGGCCTCACCAATGTCAAATAGAGGGGAATGATCACGTCCCTCGATCTGCTGGCAATGCTCCTACTTATACAGCCCAAAATGCTGTTAGCCTTCTTGGCAACAAGGGCACACTGTCGACTCATATCCAGCTTCTTGTCCACTGTAGCCCCTACGTTCTTTTCTGCGGAACTGCTGCCTAGCCACTCGGTCCCTAGTCTGTAACAGTGAATGGGATTCTTCCGTCCTAAGTGCAGGACTCTGCACTTGTCCCTGTTGAACCTCAGGATTTCTTTTTACCCAATCCTCCAATTTTTCTAGGTCCCTCTGTATCCTAGATATCCTCCAGCATATCTACCACTCCTCCTAATTTCGTGTCAGCTGCAAACTGAGGGGCTACCTACACTATCCTCCAGATCATTAATGAAGATATTGAACAAAACCAGCCCCAGGACCAACCCTTGGGGCACTCCGCTTGATACTGGTTGCCGTCTAGACATGGAGCCATTGATCACTACCCATTGAGCACGATGATCTAGCCAGCTTTCTATCCACCTTATAGTCCATTCATCCAGCCCATACTTCTTTAACTTGGTGGCAAGAATACTGTGGGAGACCATATCAAAGCTTTGCTAAAGTCAAGGAATAACATGTCCATTGCTTTCCCCTCATCCACAGAGCCAGTTATCTCCTCATAGAAGGCAATTAGGTTAGTCAGGCATGACTTGCCCTTGGTGAATCCATGCTGACTGTTCCTGATCACTTTCCTCTCCTCTAAGAGCTTCAGAATTGATTCCTTGAGGACCTGCTCCA